GACTACTGGCAATTATTCTCTGAAGTTTCAACAATTACAAAAGATTGAAGAGTAAAAATGCATTCCTTGAAGTGCTAATGATCTTCAAAGAGTTGAATCAGTTATTGGGGATAACAAGATGTGTCAATCAATAATAATCAGACCATTGTAGTTCAAAACTCATCTGAAGCCTTATTTATGAAGGAGAGTCTGGTAGTATTTTTCAGACGTGCAAGAGGAGTTATATCCAATTAGTATAGAATTGATTTTATTATTAGCTTATGATATTCTTGTTGTTAATTACTAATAGTTCTCGTATGCAGCAAGTTAAGCCTAGATCGTCTAAATTGATATGATCATTTCAATCCTTCTTTATTTCTTTTTTTAGTATGCATAATTGTAATTATTCAAATGTCTAAACGTGTTGTATGTTTGAAACATGTATGTGTATGTGATATGTTTGTGCATCTCATGCTCAAATCATTCAATCATTTAATGTATCTGTTTAAAAAGGTGGACAAGAGATGCTTGTTGCGACATTGTGCAAGATTGTAGAGGAAAAGAGGATGGAGGAGATCCAAAGTTATCTACAACATAAAAACTTAGACAAGTTATCTCTAAATTCATTAGAGTGGTGACTGAGACATCACCCAACAAAGAGCATCTCGAGTTTGTTGATGAGTGTAGAAGTCATGCGTAAGAAAAACATGGAACTTTACATACAATCCAGAAATGATGACAGTCATAATCTGACAGTTCAATGTCTTGATGTTATACAACTAAAGGAATTCAAAAAACGACATGGTTAAAAGAGAAAAAACGGCTTAAGAGTTGGGTTGAGATGCAACGTACTTCAAAAAAAGGGCTTCACTTAGAGGAAACCATGCGGTCAATCATATACTGTATTAAATTCGATGCATAATCCTTAATTTAATTTTACATGTATTATCATTGATTTTAATGTTGCCTAATCATTTTAGAAAGAAAAAAAAATCATTAACAAGTCAAATGATTGATGAAGTATCTTGTTTGCCACCTCTACCCTAAGAGCCTTCACAAACACAAAAGAATGAATTTAGGTTCATAATTTAATTTGTATTTGAAAATGAATTATCCTTATATCTACTTTTTATCTCGATGTTAATTAAGTTTTGTTATCATGTAGCACCTCTAAATGAAACTGATATTGCAACATTATATGATTGGGGCTGATTAATCACCAAGTTATACTTGTATGATGTATTAGTGTGCTATATTCTATGTTATAAGCAAGTATATTATAAGCAACCGTTTCTTCATTTATGATTAGCCGTTAGCATTTCTTCTATCAGAAAGTTTATTTATGTTGCACTTCTTGTATATTACAATATATTAGACAATTATATAGTTATGTTATTAAATTGCAGCATGCAAGTTTAATTAAGTTGCACTTATGTAAACAATTATATAGTTTTTTTTTTATTATGCTGCAGCATGCAAATTTATTTATAAAAAATAGTAGGGGTGTGGATGGATTATAAACTAAATCAAACCACATATATGGTTTGGTTTGAATCTTAAAATCATTTATATAAAATCGATTTATTTTTTTAAAACCAGTTTACAAGTGGATTGATTCGATTTCAAACCGATTTAAAAAAAAAACAGTTTTTTTAAAAACCAATTTTAAACCGATTTCTCTCAAAGCCAGTTTTTTATTTTTTTTAAAGAAATCAGTTTTAAAATCATTTTTTAAAAAAATTGCAAACTATCAAATAATTGATAAACCGCCTGAAATTTATTTTACTTTAAACCATATATATGGTTTGGTTTGAATCTTAAAATCATTTATATAAAATCGATTTATTTTTTTAAAACCAGTTTACAAGTGGATTGATTCAATTTCAAACCGATTTAAAAAAAAAACAGTTTTTTTAAAAACCAATTTTAAACTGATTTCTCTCAAAGCCAGTTTTTTATTTTTTTTTAAAGAAATCAGTTTTAAAATCATTTTTTAAAAAAATTGCAAACTATCAAATAATTGATAAACCGCCTGAAATTTATTTTACTTTAAATTTATTGCAAACTATTAAATAATTGATATAAATCAATTAATCAATTTTATTTGAGTTTTACATTGAATTAAATCAACACTTCATATATCTTAAACTTTAAACTACTCAATGTAAAACTGGAATTAGACTAATTCCTTTTTATCGTGAATTAAATCAATTAATCGAGAAGTACGTTGAATTGATATAAATCAATTAATCGTGAAACTTATTCTACTTTAAACTTATTGCAACCTATCTATCTTAAACTTATTCTACTTTAAACCAAATCAATTTTATTGCAAACTATGGGTGTCGATCTTGATTTTTCCAAACTATTTTACTTTTGTTTTTGAAGCTTATTGAAAAATGGTTACCGAATCTCAATCCGGTTTAAAACAAATGGTTACCGGTTTTTTTTTAATTTGATAAATGGGCCACCAAATTTAAAATATAAATTTGGACTGAATTTTAAAATTTGAATTAATTTGGATAGAAATTTGGTTTATGGTTATTGGTTATTTTGCACACCCATATATATATATATATATATATATATATATATATATATATATATATATATATATATATATATATATATATATATATATATATATATATATATATATATATATATATATATATATATATATATATATATATATATATATATATATATATATATATATATATATATATATATATATATATATATATATATATATATATATATATATATATATATATATATATATATATATATATATATATATATATATATATATATATATAAAAGTTTTATTTATTACATATACATTACCTTAATTGTCATTTATGACCATGAAACCAAAAAAATAAAGAATTTGAAAAATGGATTAACCATGGTTTTAAAAGTGGACACCGGTTTTAATGATTTTAGTAAAATGAATTTGGACTAATTTTTAAATCAAATAATATGGACTTTTGAAATCGATGCATCCTATATTCAAATTTGGTTCTTGTGAACAGATTTTTTTTCACAACCCTAAATAAGCATATTATGACCAATTTATTCGGTACATTATAGCAATATGAGTTTCAACATATTAGAGCTCTTTTATTATAGCAACATCAGCAACATATCATAGTTTTTTTTATTAAGTTGCAGCATACAAGTTTATTTCAGTACATAGCACATCATAGATACTCTTATTTAAGAATTCAATTGGCCAATCCAATAGCAATAACAGCACCAATGACCAATTTATTTGATACATTATAGCACTGGATTATAACAATCCAATTGAAAACTATATAAGAATTTATTTATTCAATCGAATCAAATTGATTATTCATTATTCTCTTACATAAAATTGACAACAATAATTGGTATACAATTAAATTTATACATTATATCCTAAAACTATTTTGAAAAATTCCTATCAAATACATCAAGTTATCTCCTTTATACTTCATTAGTTTGATCTTTTTTTCATCTTTATGCTTCATTCTCTATGCTTCACAAGCTACATCACAATTGACTTCAAAACTGTTTGATCAATCAACTACATCTATTTTGCTCTTGTGCTTCATAAATATCTACACAAATGCATCAAATTTGATCCTTCATGCTTCAGTACAAAAGTAGATCAAATTTCCCAACTTCCTGCATGATACAAACAAGCTCCTGCATAATGTTCAAAATTGTTTGCTCCTACGCTTCACAACTACATAAGTACACCAAACTTCAAGCCGTGCATGCATTTTTCATTGCACACGGCTTTCCGTATGTATATCCAAATATCAAATCTCTATAAAAACTAGACAATTCTATTTGCTCAAATCTCTAACGACAGTCTCCCATGTTCCTTTCATTACAGTATTTCTAAACAAGTTTTTGAAAAACTTTCTAAGGGTTTTGATATGGATGATAATGAGGAGGATATTTTTGAAGAGAGGATTTCAACCGTAAACTTGATAGCCGATTGAAGTTTCTAAGTATGAAAGATCCGGTATCTAGGAATATCATACAGTTCTTGCATAATACAAACAAATTTCTTTCTGAAAAATTAAGTTTCTACATAAAACAAGTTCTTGCATAATACATGATTTTAAAAATTTTAAAAAAACTAGTACCACTATTTCTTGTATAAATTTTCAAGAATAGATGTCTGCAACGACAACTGACAGAAGCAGAGTAACGGCAGTGAAAGAAGTAAAGTTGTGGCAGCAACATTAGCGAACTGTGATAAATGAAGCTAATTAACTACGGCAAAAAAGCAAAGCAAAGCACACTGTGGCAGAAGGTTAAGACTTGAAAATTTGCATTTAAATCAGTTCCTTCCATCTCTCTACAATTAGTTGCATTTATATCAGTTCCTTCCATCTCTCTACAATTAGGTTACAATTTGATCTTATCTTACAGAGAATAAAGTAAATAAAGTAAAGTTTCCCCAAGTTTCCCCCGTGAAGCATCCTTTTAAAGTGACATTTTAGAGTAATTTAGTTCTTGAATTAATTAAACGGAAACAATCATACTTAAAACACAAAGTATATCAATTCAAAGTGACTTTTATTACTTATTCAAATCTATACCTCAACCAAGATGATACATAACTCTTTCTGAAAAACACAAGCAAAAACTAAGGTTAGGTAGTCCTCATTTATACTATTACTATACTCGAGTTTTTCTATCAGACAAATCCATTTTTAACAAGATTTAAAACAATAATACATCCTTGTGAATTCCTTTTTGCAAACCAGGTTCACAAGATGCTGTACAGAATGAAATTTTAAGAAATTTTATTATCATGTCACTTCCTGAAATACATAGAATTAGTAGAAATCGAGTGCAAATAATAATACTTGAATTAGACAAAAGAAAACAGATTAAATTCAAGTATTCAGACTGTTTTTAAGTAATATGACAGGAGAACAAAACAACCTAAAATACAAAATTGAAAATCAAGATTTTCTTTGTTGAAAAACCACAAGATGGCACACAATAACACACTAACTATCCTTAGCCTCCTCAGCAGCTGTCTCAAAAGTCTCTCCTGGGACAAGCTCTGGAACATCATCATCATCATTCTCTTCTTGTGCTGTGGCTGTGCCAGCACCTGCTTCAGGAACCTGCTTATTGAACTGCTCAGCTAACTTCTTCAGGTTTTCCAAATTATCTGGCCCTGTATTTAATAATATTCAAAACGTTCAAGATGGGAAAGACAAGAAACACCAAACACACCTTTGAAAAGGTTCAAAGCACATACCTAATTGGTGGATAATGCTAGGAAGTATGTCCTGTAACTCTGCAGAAGGGAAAATTAAAATATAATTTCATACAACGGTAAATAATCAGCCAAAAAACCAAGCAGCAGATTATACAAGGTCGTTCATAAGTTGTTGTGTACTGTAAAATAAAATGAAATTATCCAGATAATCCAATGTATCTTACTCTTGGTTTGAGGAGCACCACTAACAACCCATGTATTAGCAGCAATAGATGCTTGAACTGAAAAGAAAACAATCCATTTTAATAGTCAGCAAAATCTGAAAAGCAATACATACATATAAAGTCTGCCATATTAAAAGTATTAACCCTGAAATATTGTGGACTGTTATTACCTTTGGGGCTTAAGAACTGGATGACAACATCATCCTTAAAGATATTGACCTCCTCAATTTGAGGGATGGCATTCACACCAATTCTCTTCAGGGTGCTCTGAAGCCTTTTGTCATCTGTAGTTGTTGTCTTGTGGACAGCCTTCTTCTTTCTAAGGTAAACAGAAGGCAGAACATCAAGATATAATTCAACTTAGCAAAAGCATAATGGATTCACAACAAAACAATTTATTCAACAGAAATATAAGATCTAAAACTCATGACAACATATTGCTAGTGACTCCAATGACAAATGATGGATCTATCAAAGAATTTTGAAGAACAAATATGACAACCATGTTATATTAGAAAAGACCAAAGTTATACCTTCTGACAGTACCCTTTCCACCAGTTCTAACTGAACCGGCCATCTTCATCAACTTTTCACGATTCATCTGGGTAAAACGTACAAAAACTAAAAACATAAATTTCACTTAAAAAAAAGATGTATAATTGAAATATATATGGTGGAAATTTGACAAAACTGCCTTACAGGATTGCATACAAAAACCTAACTAGCATAAGCTAAAAATGTGGTCCTTGACTGACTTAGTATTTCGCAGTGTGAGTTCAAAATAAAAGGACGACAATCCCAAGTTTAAGAAGATAAATTCAGCTTACACATCATATTCCTCTAAAACCATATTCCAGAAAAGAAAACCAAAACATCCTATATCACACAAACAATAGCCGATACAAATCACATGGAAAAACATAGAACCCAATCTGAAGAAAAACAAAACTTCTCAATCACCCTTCAAACAAATCAGTAACTCACAATATACAGCTAAAAATGATTGATTAGGGAAAAATTGAGCCCTAAAATAATAAATTGATAAAAAAAATGGAAAAATAGGGCGAAATCGAAATCAACACAAGGCATAGTAATTAGGTCAAATTCTGAAGGTTGAAAAACCAACACAACAACAGATAACAAGATACAACGAAACGAAAAATCAGTGAAATGAAATGGTGTAGCATTACTGAACGTACCTTTGTGAAATCAGTGATTTTGAACACAGGGTAAGCCTCACCGTGAAGAATAATAAAACAACGCAACAAGATAAGTCCTTCTTATACCTTTAAAACCCTAATCATTATTTATTTATTTATTAAAATTAAAATTTAAAAAGATTTGTGACAAAAACTCTTTTGCTCTTAAGTGAATGTCTCTTTTTAAAGTTTTTTTTTTTTCAAAGTTAGATTCGTTGAAGGTTTTGTTTAAGAGATTTAGTATTAAGTCGGTGTTTGGTTTGTGAGTTGAGTCATTTAAGAAAAAAATTCTATTTGTTGGTTTTTTTTTTGTGAGTTTCGTGCGTTGTAAAGCTTTTATTTGGTTCAAGATTAGCCAAGTATAAAGTTTTGATTCGGTTCGAAGAATAGCCAATTCAAAACTCCACATTGATTCGAGATAAGTTTGTATAAAATTTTGGTTTATCTTGGGGACTAATCGCTCAAAACTTTGTTCTTGTTTGAAAGGAAGATTAATCGCTTATATCTGGTGTTCGTTGTTTGGTTGGAAGTTAACTTGAAACTTCGTTTATCCATGTATAAGGGGGTTAGTGAGTTTAACCTACTAAAAGATCTAAAGGCAGTAACAATAGACCTTTCAAAACCACTAACGCAACAGGATCCGAGAAAATTTGGGTACCAAAGGTGAAACCCTAATATATTTTTGCATGGATGTTTTGCAGCTTGTATGAAGTCTTAATGCATTTTAGATGAGGTTGTGCAAATTAAAAAGTATACTTTCAAGTATACAATAGTTTTTGAATTGAAGTCTCTGATCTAAGAATGCTCGTTGATGATGTATATCAACGATTGTGATCAAAGCAAATATTTCATTGAAGATGGTCTCAACATCCCTGATCTAAATGATATGCTAACCTCATAGTATGTTGAGAAGATAAGTTTGTGGTGGGCATATATTGTGGTTTAACCAACTATCGTATCTAATAACCTGTAGAGAAGAACATGTTGCATTGTGTTGACATTCCCTCGAAATAGGGGATTTACCAAAGTTAATTGATAATCATGGTAGTACATTATCTTAAAGGTTGAACGATATGAACACTCCGATTAATCCTTTAAAATAGTCTATTTAATTCTTTGCCCATCAATTAAAATATTTTTTCTAACCAAATAGATGAGCTTGTTAGTGTTTTTATAGAAAGGGGGTGTAAATAAGTTGGTTAGAGGTGCATAAAATAAGAAAGCCAAAGCAATATCTAACACAAGGCCCAAAAAGCACCAAGAAAACTGAATTGTAAAAGCCCAGTCAATTGAATCCTTAAGCCAATCAATTGGATCACTTTGGAGCTTCGAGTTTCAAATCAAATCTGATTGAAACTTCGCCTCAAATCAATCAAATCCATGCATTAATGGAAATTCCTCAAGATATTTGAAAAATTGATGACCCAAATGATTAGAGCCTTAACCAACCCAATTGGACAAACATTTTTAGGAAGATTTATTTCTAAATTTTATTGTGCATAATTCTCCTTGGTTTTGTGCAAGTTTTACACGCTCAAAATCGCCAAAAGCTCTGCTATAAATAGGCAACCCTTTCTCATTAGTTTGCATCGCATATTTTCTTTCTCTCTAGTAGTGCGTGAGATTATTCCTTAAGATTATCCATCATCATGGCTCGTATGAGGATGAGATTTTCCTCTAGCCCTTTCACCGATGATTTCACATCTCAACACTTTGCAAGCAGAACCGTCTTGAGAATTCACACGTTGGATTCTAAATTCTTTAAGCAATGTTAATTCTTAAAGATCCTTGAAGAACTAAAATTATCCATATTCATCTGCAGCCCTTCAAGAAAGGTGTATTCATCATTAGTTGAGATGTTCTTTTCAAACCTCTATTTTACTAATGGAATATTTACTCTGAAGTTAGAAGACATGAGATATATCTATCACTAGAATAATTTTGAAAGCATCTTGGATATTTCCCCATGAAGGTTCTATCTTAAAGCAAGAAGAACAAGGCAACAGCTTCAACTTCATGTCAATTGCGTCCTTGTTTTTGAAAAACTCAGCATCCTTATTACTCAATTCTTTCATTGTAGGCTTCATTCTCCCCAACATTTCTTTGATCCATTATATGGTCAATCACATACTCTTTAAAAGAACAAAACTTTGGTCTTCTAACTAGGTTTTATGTGAAAATTGTATGGATGATTGCAAACAAAATCGAAATCAACTGGGAAAGGGAAGTAATTCAATATGTTAGTAAGAAAGAGAAAATGAATGTGCTTACCGTATGGTAACCTCGTCATAAAAGTCTTGGAACACACCGATTTTGACCTAAATAATGAAGAATTTGAAGAAGGTGTGGCATAAATAGGAGAAGCAGCAATAAGGTATGAGAACATTGATGGAAAGCTGATTGAAAATTCCTCCAAAGGAAAGAAGAGAACGATGGAAGATCAAGAAGCACACGTGAACCTAGAAGAGTGGGATTATGTTATCCTTGAACCAACCTCTGTCGAATCTTATTCAAGATCATAATCAAGAGACACTAGAAAAGACAAATACAAGATCAACTTCTTAGCCCACCGTCTCACCCAATAACCGAGATAACTACATCTAATATTGTTCACCGATGATGATTTTGATGATGAAGAATATTTTCACTTATGTGTTTTAGTTTTTAAGTGTGTTTGCTTTTCTGTTTTTGCATTGTTTTAATTTATGCAATTTCTCGCTTTCTGTACTTTGAATTTCAGTATAATTTAATTTAATAAAGTGTGTGATTTTCCCTTACTAAATTCATATGTGACTATGTGTTTGCATATTTAAATTTACACTTTGCATAATTACCTGCCTTTTTGGTTATGACAAATGGGGAAGAAGTATACTCTCGGGGGGAAGAGAATATACTCTCTACTCATTTGAGGGGGAGTTCAAACATTCCACTTTTATCTACCTGTTATTTCTTCCACTACCCCCCTTAGAGATGTTTCGGCATCATCAAAAGGGGGAGAATGTAGAACCATGTGTTTGCAGGTTAATTAGAAAGTGATCAAAGTCAAACAATTCATGCCTAAACCTATCATGGTTTTGATGATGACATCTCAAGAAGGTATATACTTGATGATAACTCATGAAGATGCATTGATGACAACTTGACAACAAAGCATGAAGTCAAGCAAGTACTACAACTATCTCAAGTGATCAAAGATGCATAAGACACTTTGTTCTCTTTCTGAAGATAGATAGATTAGGGTTTGATGATCTTTGTAATAATTCTCTGATGATGGCATCCAACTTGAAAATATATCAAGCCTCATCTCCAAGAATACTCAAGCAAGTGTTTATGTGATTGGTGTATTCGTCAAAGTCTTGAAACTTCAGAGTGTGGAAGAGAGAAAGTGTGAAAGTTTTCTTCAACGTGTATGAGTGATTAGTGTCTTGTAAAAACCAAAGGGCATTTTTGTAAAGTAATATGGATAAGTCATGTAACACCCCAATTTTTAATTATTCCTTTTAATTAAATTTATAATATTTATTTAAGTGTTTTATTTAATTAAATAGAATTGTTGATGAAGGGTGGAGATTTAATTAGTATTATTATTAATTTAATTGATATTAGAAATAATAGGAAATAGAGAAATATTTTAGAGTTGGGATAAAAATAGATTTAAATTATAAATACTAGAGTGTTCATAGTATTTTTAAGTGAATATTAGAGATAACAGAGAAATATAAGTTAATGAGTGATGGGTATTTTGAGTAAGGGCTAGAGTGTGGTGAGAGTTGTTGGAATATTTCGAGTTATTATTGTTATTAAATTATTTATTAGATAATTATAAATTATTTAGAAATATGTATTTCGAGTAAAAATTAAGGGTCTGATTAGAATTAGTGAAATAATAGAGTTATTTTACTAATTGAGTTTATTTGAGTAATTATATATATTTTTTAGTTAGAATATTGATTAAATAATAGAAATATAGAATTATTGAGGGTGTGAGGAGAATCAAGAGGTGAAAAGAGTAAGTGGAATATTTGGTTAAAATAAATAGTAAAGTGAGGGGAGCTTCTGGAGAGTACGTGCAAAAGTTAGGAAAATAGGCCGAAAGAGAGAGACAGATCTAGGAGGATTGAGAAAACGAGGAAAATTCTCAAAGACAAGAAAGTTCAACGATCTTCAAACCTTCGAGGTAAGGGGTTTTTTTCATATGTAGGTGTTTAGGCAGATGAATGGTGAGAATTTCTTACTCTACTACCTTTTTCTCTTTCTATTTCTCTGTGATAATGTTTGTGGGCAAAGAAGGTTTGGGCAAAACATTCTAAGCCGATTATTATGATAATGTTTCTATGTTTGTACTTGATCACTGTTGACCTTGTTTGATAATTTGTGTTGATGTCTTTTGATAAGGCAAGGT